ATACGGGGACAAACTTGAGAATACGAAAGTCGGGCGACCCCGTTAGTATGTTTGATAGTGGCAGTATAACATTAAATAGAGGAACATTGGACGCCTCGCCAGAGGCTCGCGTGCTACGCGACCCTTTACAAAATCATTCTTATCAAGATATAGGCAACGTTCACAATAAAGCAGGTAATTTACCAATAACAACCGAAGAGTTTATGGAACAGTTTAATTAAAATATATGTATTATTAATAATGTTTCATCCAAAAGCAACAACATATGAACAAATGGAGAAACCAAAAAAGGAGAAGAAGTTTAAACAAAACAGTTATGAAGAAATCAGAAAATTAGTTGAAGATGGCGGAGAGATGAGACTGAAAGAGACCATCAATACAAATAAAGACAATAACAAAAATGCTAGTAAAATTAAGTTTAATTTATTTGATTAAAATTATTATAGAAATAATTATTATCTAGTATTGTTTATATAATATGGAGACGTTCGCACCAGAAGATATTCTTATTGGTAACTTAAGTTTCAAATTGAATAAAGGTTCAAGTTACATAACAGATAGAAGAAGCGTATCCTTCTTTCCTACAACTTCTAACGTGTATAAACCATCATCGGGGGCAAGGGTAATCAAATTTACTTTAAACGGTGAAGATAACAGTTGGTTAGACCCTCAAAGTGTAAGAATATTTTTTACTTTGAATAATAAAGATGGAGCAAATTTTAGAAAAGTTCGTCCTTTATCATCTCCTTATTCCTTTTTCAGACGAATGCGAATTATTGCTGGTAGTCAAGTTGTAGAAGATTTTGACAGTTACAATCGTGTTCATCATATGTTTTCCAAGTTAATGTCACAGGGAGCAAGACGAGATGAAGCAAATGAAGGATTCGGTTATAGATACGATGATGAATTACTAACATTGGTAAATAATGCGGGTAATACCGCTTTAACTTATGAAGTCAATGCCGCTAACTGTCAGGGTTTCTATAGTGAAATGACAGTCGGATTTAAACCCTTATGTGGTCTATTTTCTCAATTTAAGTATTTACCTCTAAATACATGGGTAATTTAACGATTGAATTAGAACTGGTGACAAATGCCATTGATTGTATCATTAACCCTAATGATTATGATGACAGCGATACAGGTATTGATGCTGGTATTCGTAATCGTTTTACATTAGCAGTAGCAGGTGATGTAGGAAAAGCAACAAATACTTCTATTGATTGGGAAATTTCTAACCCTCGTGTAGTATGTGATGTTTGCTCCCTCGATAATAATCTAAATAATGAATATGTTAAACATCTTTTAGAAGGAAAAGGACTACCAATAACATATACAACTTACATTACTCAATCGCAAACCGTTAAAGGTTCAACTGATTTTAGCGTTCCAGTTATTCGTTCCGTATCTAAACTTGTTGCTTCGTTTGTCACCTTTTATAAAGCGGGAGACCCAAGCACGGGTTACGAATACTGTGACAAAGAATTTTGTAGATTTTATCACCCTCATCAAAACCATGAACCATTAGACGCAGGTATTTATGACAAAGACAAAGATTTAGAGTTTCAAATTCAATTAGGTTCAAAATTGTATCCAGAATACCCTTGTAATTCTATTACTCAATGCTTTTATCATTTACGAAAAGCGCTTAATTTACCAATGTTTCATCAACACAGTATGAATATTAATTTTAAACAGTATCGCGACCGTCAGTTTATTTTTGCCTTCTCATTTGAAAAAGTGCCAGATAGTAGTTATACAGGTATTAATACCCGCGCAGGTCAGCAAATGTTATTAAGAGTAAAACCAGCAGGAGCAACAATACCCGCCACCGAAATGCCAGATACGCTTTATATCACGATGCTTTCAGAACAGATACTGGAAATTAAGGATTTAGGTTTAAAAGTGCTTGATTAGTTAATTAATCATTGTTAAATTAATTATCTAAATTAAATTAATAATGCCCTTAACATTGAATAATACAAACACTTTAACAGCAGATAATATTGTAATAGGTGGGACTGATTTATCGCTTATATACGCTACAAAGAATGAAATAGGAAACACTGCTCAAATAACCGCCAACACAGACGACATAGCAATATTGAACACAAAACAATTACAAAACTTCAATAATATTAATGCTATAAATGATGACTTAACTAATAATTATCAAACTAACACGGTTTTAGCAACTAATTTTTACAATAAAACGGAGATTGATTCAACATTTACTAATTACTATACAACAACGCAGATAGATACAAATTTATCATCTAACTATCAAAATAACACATTATTAGCAACCAATTTTTGTAATAAAGGGGAGGTAGATACATTGATAGCAGGAGCTGGGGGTGGTGGAGGTTATACCGATACAGAAATTGATAATCTACTAGCGTTAAGAGTTCCATTAAGTGATTTTACTGATAGATTTAACAGGGTTGAGCTGTAAGGTTTTTTAGGGGAAGTGGTGAAACCGTTTTCGTGTGAGCTGATTAACTGCATTTGCTAAAACAGCTTGCCTCCACCTGCCGGTCGTTTATCTTTTTTGCTAAAACAGCTTGGGTCCACCTGCCGGTCGTTTATCTTTTTGGTTCAGCCGTTCTATTAAGTGAGGGAGGCTGGGGGCCCCAGTCCTCCTCACTTAACGGGACGGTCGTAAAGGGCAGGATCCATACATAGGGAGGGGGGGGGGGGGGGCAGGGCGGCACGTAAATCCTCACTTGGGTATTAAAACCTTAAGGCCCCAATAGCCCACATATCTCAACAACCCTTACTACCAACAGCCCGCCGGTTGTAATTAATGCTTGTACCCCCAAACTCAAAGCCTAAAATAAATAACACAGAAGATGAAAACCATTAACCTTCAAGCCCTGCCGGTCGAGAAGATCATCCTGACGCCATGGGCCGGATGCCCCAGTATGGGGTTTGGGGTTTAAGTTAGGCTAGTGGTTCAGGGTGTTTTAGTGTGGTCGGTCGAGTGATTTTTTGCGTTGTTTGGATCGGGTGTGGGTTAAAGGATGTGGTTTCGGATTTGCTGGTAAGGTTGGAGTTTGCATTTGCTTCGGATTATTTAGGATTGGGTTTTTTAGGTCGGTCGGCACCCTGAACCCTAAGGCCCTAAGCCCTAAGTCCTCAAACCCCCCTCGTCGGTCACGTTCGTGATGCAGCAGCTGGCCGGTCGACTTCGGTCCCGGTGCTGCTGTTGCTGAGTTGAGCTTGCCGGTCGACTTCGGTCCCGGTGCACTCCTGGGCTTGCCGGTCGACTTCGGTCCCGGTACTCAGGCATGGCACAGAGCTCGCTGTGTGACTCCGGTCCGCAGTGCTTTGTGCCACATCGCTTGCCGGTCGACTTCGGTCCCGGTGCACTCCTGAGCTCGCCGGTCGACTTCGGTCCCGGTACTCAGGCATGGCACAGAGCTCGCTGTGTGACTCCGGTCCGCAGTGCTTTGTGCCACATCGCTTGCCGGTCGACTTCGGTCCCGGTGCACTCCTGAGCTCGCCGGTCGACTTCGGTCCCGGCGCTCAGGCACGACACAGGGCTAGCTGTGGGACCCCGGTCCACGGCGCCCTGTGTCACATCGCTTGCCGGTCAACTTCGGTTCCGGTGCACTCCTGAGCTCGCCGGTCGACTTCGGTCCCGGCGCTCAGGCACGACACAGGGCTAGCTGCGGGACCCCGGTCCACGGCGCCCTGTGTCACATCGCTTGCCGGTCGACTTCGGTCCCGGTGCACTCCTGAGCTCGCCGGTCGACTTAGGTCCCGGCACTCAGGCAGGACACAGGGCTAGCTGTGGGACCCGGGTCCATGGCGCCCTGTGTCACATCGCTTGCCGGTCGACTTCGGTCCCGGTGTGTTTGTGCAGGGCCTGCAGGACGCGGATTTTTGCCGGTCGACTTCACGTCTGCAAACCACCGCCTGAGGCCTGACCTATGGTTGGTCACGTGTCTTGTCGGTCGCGACGAGGGTGGCTTGCTGGACCCTCAGTTGCAATGTGCAGCCGCAAGACAGAAAGCTCTGCTCGCCCAGGCCACCATCAATCGAGCACGGTTTGTCTGTGTGGCTCTGAGATTTTGGGGGCAGCCGGTCAGTCGAGCCGATGATGCACAGACAGACACAGGCCCATTTTGTCGTCTTCTGCCTGCCGGTCCAAGCTTGGCCCTAAGTCATAGGTTGTCCCTTCTTCACATTCCAGATACCAGATGTAAGCTCGTGCAGGGCTCCTTGCTGGAGGAGGACATTGACTGCTGGGGGCTGAGGTTTCGAGTCACCCAGTTGTGTGACTCCTGACCTCTCTTAGTCTTGCAGGCGCTTCTCATCGCCTAGCCGGTCGATGCTGGGGCCTAAGGTAATAGGTTGGCCGGTGAGTTCCAGATGTAAGCTTGGGCAGGCCTTCGCCGGTCCGGGAGGTGAGCTGGGGGCTGAGCTTTGGAGTCATGATTATATTTGAAGCATACATCGATTCAAGGCATCCTTCTTTCCTGGTGCTGGCCGTGCTACTCCCAGATTTGATCGAGCTGACTGTTTCAGTCAGTTCGATCACATCTGGGAGCAGCATTCCTCGGTGCTTTTATTGCCTGTCGACGCTGGGACCTGAGGTCATCCTTGGCCCACTAGTTCGGGATGCTAGCTCGTGCATATTCTCGCCCAGGTTCAGTGATTTTTTCTGGCCGAGTTGCCGGTCGGTGCAGGAGCTGAGCACAAAGATGCTTTCAAGTTTGTGACTGTCGGCTTTATGTCCTTCAGGTGCTGGAGGGAGCATCTCGCATCTCGTGATGCGCCGGTCGTCGACAACGTACCGGCTCAGGACTCTGTGCTTTGCAAGTGAAGTGCTCCGCAGCTTTACTCGCAATTGCCGGTCACCAGCCACTTCTGTCAAGTGTGCTGAACACATGGTTGGCAGCCAGGCGACATGAACATAACGTCGGTCAGCATTGAAGTGTGTGTTGTGTTTCACATTATAAACAGTAGTGCCCTCCATTCACGTGTTGGTCGCCATGGCAGATGCCGATGAAGAGGATAGGCAGAACAAGGACAAGAAGGGCGACGCCAAGGCCAGGGACAAGAAGACGGTCGACAGGCACAAGAAGGACAAGAAGGGTGACAAGGAGGCCAAGGACGAGAAGACGGTCGCAAAAAAATCCAGGAAACAGGTCAGGGAGGAGAAGAAGAAGAGATCAGCCGAGGCGGTCGCAGAGCTCCTGACTGAGGTGTCTGAGGAGGGCGATACCGAGTCGGTCGGCAAGGCGGATGTTGAGCCGGCTGAGCCTGCAAGTGGCAGTGCTGCTGATCAGCCGGTCGCTGAGCCTGCAAGTGGCAGTGCTGATCAGCCGGTCAAAAAGAAAGGCAGCAAGTTCCAGACGCCTGACCCCAATGTCGCTTGGCTAAACTAGCTTGTCGGTCGATTCCAGCTGACTGACAGACTGTGTCGTGTCTGTGCAACTAAGAGCCGGTCCCAGCAGAAGAAGCGGACCTTCATGGAGTTTTGCTTCGAGAAGAAGAATAACAGGAAAACCACGAAGCCGGTCGATGATGGCGAGGCTTGGCTTGCAATACCACATGTTGTCATCAGGTGCAGTTGAGGTGCAGTTCAGGTGCAGTTCAGGTGCAGTTCAGGTTTCGAGATTGTATACATTGGTGCTGTTCAGGTGCAGGTCAGGTGCAGTTCGGGTGCAGTTCAGCTGTGTATATCTTATGTTGTGTGTGTCAAGATGTTGATTTGTGCAGGAACGACGTGGCCATGGCGGCTTTATGCCTTCTATGCCTTCTATGCCTTCTATGCCGCCGGTCCGCCCGGCGTCGTCACTGCCGCCTCTCCTTCCGCCTCCACTTCCGCCGTTGCCACCTTTGCCATTGCCCTTCCCGTCGGTCCCTCCGCTTACGCCTATTCCTCAGCCTCAGCCGCCGGTCGATGCTTCTGGAACAGTGCAGATGGCCCATTCAGATCTTCGGCTGATTTATTATTTAGTTGGTTGACTGACTGATTATCCTTGACCTGAAGACCTGTTTGTATGATTGGCCGGTCGAGAACAACCGAGATCTCAGACCTGCTCAAGAAGCAGGAGTCGTTGCAGGATCAGCTGGTCGCATGGAAACAGATCAGCTTTCATTGGAAGGAGGCAGTACCTTTCACAGCAGCTATCATAGTGTCAGCTGTGTTGGGCATTGGGTGAACTTGGAATTGATAACGGTCGGTGCTGTGCCACTTGGCCCAAGGCATATGGTCGGTCGCCGATGTGGCAGGCAGAGAATGTGGAGAGTCGACTGACTGGCGGTCCTGGTGCCACTTGTCTGTGTGAGGTGTCATTTGTAATGCTTCCGTCGGTCATATACGAAGTCCAAGGTTGAGCCACCTGCCCGTCATCAAGGAGTCGCTGCTCAACGTTCCACCAGTCCACTGCCTGGTGCTCAACGTCCCGCCGGTCCGGCGCAGCCGTTCAGTCCTGCAAGGCCCAATCCAGCCGCTGTGCAGCAGCAGCAGCCTCGGCCGGTCAGTGCGCAGCAGCAGCCTCCCATGATGGCCCCTGCGCAGCAGCAGCAGCAGCAGCCTCGGCCGGTCAGTGCGCAGCAGCAGCCTCCCATGATGACCCCTGCGCAGCAGCAGCAGCCTCGGCCGGTCAGTGCGCAGCAGCAGCCTCCCATGACGGTCCCTGCGCAGCAGCAGCCTCCCATGACGGTCCCTGTGCAGCTCCAGCGGCCGGTCGGTCATCCACAAAGCTTTGGCCCTGCCAATATTCCTCCAACACCTGGCCGCCCACAGCGGTAGTGAGTGGTGGGCCGGTCGACTGAACTGGTTTCCAGGATGCCCTCAGGTCCCTCCTCTAGGCGCTGAGGAATTTCCTCGCCGCCTCGAGGAAGGATTTCAGTGATCCGGGCCGGTCATCTGAAAAAGACGAGCTCGCGTATTATGTACTGCATCCTGACAAACATAGTAGGTTGCTGAGTTGGGATTGCATTGCTTCACCTGCGAGGACAGTGTGCTTCCTCCTTTGGCCATGTTTGCCTTGCCCTTGGACGTCGTGAACAAGTGCAGATTCCAGGATTCCAGCCCATGTAGTCACACAAGTGAGGTCGGTCGCTTGTCGTGGCCTTCCTTGACCAGGCCATTGTAGCATTAAGCGGCAGAAGAGTTCTGTTGTCTTGCTGCTGGAGGTTTGCAGACAGCCGTGCCGTGGGCCTGGATGAGGCCCAGGAGGCCGGGCTCTGCAGCACACGTGTCCACTGGTCGGTCGGCAAGTTCTTGGCTGGCTAGTACCGATCTTCTGCCGCAACAAGGCTCAACAGTACCGAGCATGTGTCCACGGCATGTAAGGACATGTCTCACAGTCACAGTCACAGCGAAGCAAAAGCACGACGGTCATGAATGTCTCCAGCAATGTTTCGAAACATGAAGTGGGTACTTGAGCATCATACCTCCTGCGGACGATCATGACTCTGCCCACGGACGGTCGAGGTGGGTTCGTTTGATTGTTGAGAGAAGAGTTTAGCTGCTATGATTCTGCGGCCGAGGCCAGCCGGTCATTACTGGGCCTACAGAGCCCCCGACTCCAGCATCGACGCCGGTCTCCTTCACTCCTCCAGGGACCTGGACTCCAGATCCGCAAGGTCCCATCCTCCAAACCATCACACACGACCTTGACATGATTGACCCTGCAGGAGTTGCTCAGCCGGTCCATCCTGCCACGCCTCGAGAGCCTGCCACGCCTGAAGGTGTTGCCACGCCATCACACACGACCTTGACATGATTGACCCTGCAGGAGTTGCTCAGCCGGTCCATCCTGCCACGCCTCGAGAGCCTGCTACGCCTGAAGAAGGTGTTGCCACGCCGGTTCAAGCATACAATTTGTGTCTGATATGTTTCATGCACAGGTGCCGGTCAGACCCAGACTCTTGGAAGGCCGCCAAGAAGTAGAGGCAGGTGGCAAAGTTGAGTCTTAATATAGGCTGGACCGAGCCGAGTCTGTTGCTAAGTCTGGGGGGCCAAAGACGACCCTGAGGAGCGACGACGCCTTCCCGGCTTTTGAACCCCATCCGAGAAGGCCGAGGCAGGTCTAGCTATTGTTTTGACTTGCCTGGTTGTGCCTGTTTGCTGCTGGTGTTTGTTGTTGGGGGGCTGGGCTGATGTCGAGGAGCCGAGGCTGATGATGAAGCTGCCGGTCCTGAGTACTTTGATCCTCACGCCGGTCTAGAGACAGCCTCGTTGCGCAGCGTTGCCACCATCGACAGCTTCGACTCCGCCAAGGTGCCGGTCAGAGAGCCGAGGGTGGGGGATTCACAGAAGGTCGAAAGGACCGCCGCCAGGATGGGGTGCTACCCCAATGACCCCCTTCCCGGCGGTCGCAGCTCCTCTTCGTCCGGGCCCTCACATGCCGGTCGAACAGGTGACGGAGACGGAGGCAAAGCCGGGCAGAAAGGCGGAAAAGGCGAACCTGCTGCCGGTCGTGGTGATGGCGGAAAAGGCGAACCTGCTGCCGGTCGTGGTGATGGCGGAAAAGGCGCCAAAGGCGGTGATGGCGGAAAAGGTGCCAAAGGTGATGCCGGTCGCCCCTGGCCATGGGAACGTCGCGCGCCGCGCAACATTCAGGCCGACGCAGCACATGAAAGCCGGTCGTTCCCGCCACTTTCCCCGGAAGGCTCGGATTCTGACAAAGTCACATGAGTGTCGGAGTGTCTGTCGGTCACAAGTTTAAGTGTTAAGTGAACTAGTAAAGTGGTGTTCTGAATTTTCTGTTGCCCCCTGCAGTCGAGCGGCAGCTGCTGCAGCACTTCCTCTCCAAGATGCCGGTCGCATGTCGGCCTGACTACCCCGAGAACCCCGACAACGACGATGCTCGGCCGTCGAATGACCCTGGCCCGCCGGTCGCAGGAACAACAGGACTTCGAGAAGTCCAAACGAAGGTCCTAGCGAGCTCCCCAGCTGTGTTCATGGTCCTCCGACACCTGGCTGTGGACTGGGCCAGCTGGGCCGAGCCTTGACTAATCTGGCGTGTGTTCATTCATTGCCGGTCGAGCTATTGAGTCTGTGTGCATGTGTTCAGTCATTGCCGGTCGAGCTCTCGAGTCTGTGTGCAGCCAAGAACATGTGTGCTCTGATGGAGACAGAGCACAGCGCCGGTCGGGTGTACGCCCTCATGATCGTCTTCCGGTTGTGCCGCCACGCTTTGTCGTGGGATATGGCGGTCCCACCGATCTGGCAGCTTGCCTGCAATGTGGTGAGTTGATTTGAAATGAAGCTCTTGGTGTCAGTGTGCCGGTCTGATTGATTCAGTCAGGTGGTCGCCCGACCGTGTCATCGCGGCTAACACCCGCGAAAAGATGCATCTCTTGATGCGTGATGTGGAGTGGCGGCTGGGCGACAACGCGAGCCGGTCGTACTACCACAGTAGACACGGCCAAGACAGCACGTCGGTCGGCGATATCTTCTTCCAGTCCGAGCGTTGCCGGCAGGAGGCCGGACTGAATGGGTTCAGATCAATAACGAAACATTCTGCCAGTGTGTCAGGCTCAGGCAGCCAGACGCCGGTCGGCCAGCCAGGGGCCACCTCCGCGTCGGGATCCACGTCCGCATCCGGACCCTCCCCAGGCTTGACATTCTGTCATTGTGTTGTGTGGTTGTTTGCAGGAGTGTATCATAATCACTTGTCCTGCCAGGCAAGCACATTGCCGACGGTCCGGCAGAGCGGGGAAGACATCATTGCAGCGATGTTACGGGTCCACCAAGAGCAAATGAGCAGACCACCTGCCGGTCAGGCCCCGCCCGTACCCAAAGCGTCGTTTGCCGGCAAATAACAAACTCATCTTTAAAATTATTTTAGATATAATATTTATAACTCTGCTGGCTGCTTCTATTAATATCATGCGAGCATGTGCATTTTATCAATTTGCTACGTCCAGCCAAGCCAAGGGGCCCACCAGATCCGCCGGCCAGCGACGACGGATCCACAGCAACTCGTCAATCACAGATCAAGTCGTTTTGTTATGTGTGGTGTGCGCATTCTCACAATGCCAGGAGCAAGGCGGTGCTGACGGTAGCAGGGGAGGCAACCAAGCTCCGCAGCAGGACTCATGATCAATTCACCGTCAGTTGGTTTCAATCACACACAAATCCTGGATTGCATCGAAGGACAGCTCGGGCCCAGGCGACGGTCCTGCTTCACAACAGGACTCATGCGTGATTAATGCTCCTTGTGATGTGCCACAGAATTTCAGACTGGATTGCACCGAAGGATGGAAGCTGGGGCCAAGGCGACGGTCAGGCTACGCAGCAGGACACGTGAATGTGCTTGTGTGGCAAAGAAATGAATGCACAGTGTATTGAACCACAGGACGGAACCTGGGGAAGCATGGCCTGGGGACAAAGCGGCGGTCAGGCTTCGTGGCAGGACTTCTCAAG